CTACAGCCATTGGAGAACCAAAAGTCTGTGCATTTTCAGTTTCATGTATATTTTGCTGTCCCTTAGGGAGTAAATTCACTAAGACATGGTAGTTCTGGTACATTCAGACTCTGACTTAATGCTAACCTATCTCTTCAATTTAAAAATTTTCGAGGCTTTTAAATCATTTTTGAAGGGTGATTTTATTTTGAGAATATTCCCTTTGCCCTTGATATGTTTAAACCATAAACATGTAACTGTGTAACCTACAGAAATTATTTACAACAGTGCAAAATCACATGTTTCTTGCTTGATTCTCTACTATGAAGCAGACATAGTTACCAAGCAAATACATAATATTAGTCTGAGCTGCTCTCTTTATTGAATGAACAAATAAATGAATGAACCTTGCATTATCTGGCAGCTAGGACTAGCTGGTTTCCTGGTGGACTTACTCCTTAGAGAATGAACTAGGAGCATTCTTAGTTTGGCCCTGTCTTAGTTCAGGCTGCTATAGCAATATACCACAGAATGAGCAGCTTATAAACAGAAATTACCACTTACAGATCTGGAGACTGAAAATATGAGATCAGAGTGCCAGCATGGTTGGGTGAGGGTCCTCTTCCTGGTGGCAGACTTCTGAGTCCTCAAATGGTAGAAGAGGATAGGGAGTTCTGTGCGGACTCTTTTTTAGAGCACTAACCCCATTCCTCAGTACCTCCCTAAGGTCCCACCTCCTAACAGCATCACCTTTGTGGGTTAGGATTTCAACATAGGAATTTTGTTGAAAATGAAACATTCATTTTCGCTTTCTTGGGACCATGCCCTCCAAACACTTCAGAATAGCCAACTGCAGCTGTGTTCTCACCTATGCCCCCTTTTCCTCCCCATCCTTAAAAACACAGATAAGAGCTTTTCAGTTGTGCCAGCCTGGTGGTCCTTAAAGAGACTGACTCATTCCTCAGGCTCCCTACAAGTGAGAGTAGACCACAAATTCCTGTCTTTGGAGTGGTTCTTCTTTAGTCTGATTTTCTGCAATGACAGGGATTCTCCAGTCTGCTTTTTGTTCCTCTGTAATGACTTCAAGAATGAGGAGAGGGACCAACTTTTCCAGGCTGTCAGGATGACTAGAGGTCCCTCCAGCTGGTCAGGTGTAATGGTAACGTGGGCCATTAATCTTGCCCATTATCTGGAAAATACGGAAAGCCTGAAGAACAAGAATTATTTACTTTCACACAAAACCAAGGCACCAAGTCACTGGACTTTATATACAGCCATGCTCCATCTAAAGGTCTTTAGAAATAGAATTTATAAGTCTACGGTGATTTGAGTAAGATTCTCTTTAAAACAGGAAGCCAATTTAGACAACACTTCAAGGTGTCTCTAAACTAATTTTTGTTTTGTTTTTTTTTAATTTAAAGAGTCATAAAAAAATGGATACATTTTCATAAACTATAAAGTTTCTGTTCACATCTAAACTACTGGGAGATATTCTGTAATTTTAACATTGAATTATTTTAGTAAATAATCACCAAATGCCTACTATATGTTAGGCAGGTAGATGCTGGAAATACAGCATAATGCATATATTAAACCTTCAACATGCAGACTGTATAGAGGTGCTAAGAATTCTTCAGGCCCTCTAATGAATTTGTTCACATTTTCTGTACCCAATCATAATTTAAACTCTACTTAGGTGAGTGTTCCAAACTGTGGGTTTCACTTGCCTCCCTGATCCCCTCGGACTCAACCAAAGACATTGAATTCCTGAACCCCAGCCTAGTGGATGCATTTTCATTGGGATAAGTGTATCCAGGAGTAGAATTTTATCACTGCCCCAAGGTCCCAAGGATTTTTTTCTTTCAGTATCAAGAACTCTTTACTGAAAGTCATTGCCCAGGTAGATGAACTGCCAAAAAGGAGGTTAATACAGGGAAGCGTTTGCTAGTGTGGATGTCTGCACTCAAAGCTATCTGGGGAGCTGCTATAAGATGGATGGAGAGGGAATATTACTCATTTGGAAGCCTGGCTGTCAAAGAAAATCCAAACCCAGGAGCTTTTCTCCTAAGAACCCCTATGACATTTTATTCTTTAAATAAATCTTTTCATCCTCTCCTTGGGTGAGAGATTGACATTTTAAGATCAATCATGCCTCTGCTTTGCAGGGTTGGTACACTTAGAACAGGATAAATGGAAATTAAGCAAAATTTCCATTTTTTTGAATAAAAGTGTTCAAAATAGGTATATTCTAACTCAATATAAAAGAAGAATGCTCTTCCCCCCGGTGGTCATTCTCATTACTATGGTTATCTCAAGACCTTTCACTGTCAAAATTTCATCCTGTTTTCTCTAAAAGGCCCATTCTGAACATACACCTGCTGTTTGAATAGCAGCAGAAAGCAAAAGAATCTCACGCTATGTTTTTCTCCATCAGAACCAAGGATATTTTAGTGCTGCTGATATAGTAGTCACGGGTTACCAGCTTTTCCAGTTCCTCGCTATAGTGAGATAAATCTCAGCTTATTACTACAGGCTATGCTTGAATTCTTACCTCCTGTTTATATTATTCAGGAGACCCCCTTCTTGTCATAATGGTTTTGTTAGCAATTGGGTAGCCTTTCCAAACATCAGATTTACTCGGTGCTTTTAACTAATTTTAAATGATTTTTTCAAAAAAATATTAAGGCTCTCAAGCCTTTCCGTTAGTCAGTACACATTTATTGTGAGCCTACTATGTGCCAAATGTTGGAGTAGGTGCTGGTAGCATAGACTACCAGGGAGCATGCCATGGTCAAAGGAGCACTCGGTGAGGGTCAGGACGTGCCATCCTAGCACCAGTCTTACCTTTGACCAGGGCGAGGCCTGGGCAAAGCCATCAACCTCTGGGTTCCAGTTTTCTCTCATGCAAAATAAGGGGTAGAAAGAGCTGCTCTTCCTTCAGACTCTATTATTCTGTAATTGCTGTTGGTTGAGTTAACTCACTGCACTGGAAACTCAGTGGCCTCACAAAGGTGAATGCTTTCATAAGCACCCCAAAGGGTCTTGATAGTAATTCAAGGAGCAGTTTTAGTGCTGAGACAAATGCTTTTCCAAGGTCCAACAAGACACTTAAAGAAAGGATACACACGTTTTTTACTTTATATTTGAGCATATTCTCCTCCCAAATGCTCGCCTACTTTCCAGTTGCTAGGTAATATAAGGGAGTAATCTCCA